GGATTATGCAATATGTTGGATAACCCCATATAGTCGGCGATTATCTTGAGGGTTTCACGCACGGTGTTCGGTGAAATAAAGGTATTTGCGGTGCTGTGGTTTCCCGTTTGACCTTTCTCAGACCTAAATTCAGCATGCAAACTTCGTTTCTTTGGACTGAAAAACCAAAAATCCATAACTCGCTTAAAAGGCTTCGGATCGAGCTAAGAAGCGAGATGACAATAGAAAAGACAACAAGGAATTGAGGTAAGTCAATTTTATCACCAAAATATCACAATTTCAGCTACAATGGCGATTACCATTTTTCCTCATACAAACCTTTATAAATTCAAACCGTTGTAACACAACACCTCCACATGTTGCAAGGCGAGAGTCACGTTTCGCGTATTCGGACTCGGTCGTTATGTAATAGTATATGTCGACCGTATATATGTCACGTTTCACTGAACGTTCGCATAAAAGTAAAAAAAGAAAAGATAAAAATAACTCCTCGCATCGTGAACTTGGGCTGCCTGTGGACCGAATGTATTACTGACTGTAGCTTTCTTCGCTGATTTACAGGCATCAGCAGTATCGAAATGTTGGCAATGAAAAGCGTGGTGATATTTATCTTGTGGAAAATTGTTAACGCCGCCCGAGATAATAGGAAGTTAACCAAGGTCAAAGTTCGATTTACCCTGTGATCAGGCATGATCTAGTTCGGTAACCAAGGTCGAGATGACAGATATATCCACTTGCGATTGCATGGTATCTCGCACCCCGTGGTGTCCAGATTGCGTCAATCTCATTCACTCATGTTTACGACAACGTTTGTCTTTGATCTACGTACGAATCATGGCAAAAAAGTAAGCCAAGTCCGGACCAGCCACTCGGTCAATATACTCATACGTACGTCCAGATTTTCCACCTTTTTCAAGGAAATGTCCGTGTAAAAGGGTTTCAAATTAAACCTGAATTTGTTTCTCTGCCATAACCATGCACGCACGTCTAGCGCGCCTTGTCTTTCGAAGAACGATTTGAAGCATAATCAATCGCATTCGCCTCGACTTCTTGGGGTGCTAAAAAAATAAATGCCGCTGAAATCTCGAGTCCTGAGTTTGCTGCTCAAGAAAAAGAAAAATAAACACGAGGACTACAAGAGCCACAGCTTCTCTCGCTGTCGCATTGAAGATAAAGACACTAAAACGGGCAAAGTAGCCAAACGCAAAAGAACAACCCGCCACAAGACAAGTAAAGCTAGCAAATGTACCGATAAGCACGACAACGAATCAAAGTACCGACAGCTCAGGCAGGCTGCTTATAAAAGAACCTTTGTGGCTTTCAGTAAATCAGTAAGTTGTTTTTGTTTTCTTTCCTACACAGAAATGGGTCCTTTCTTTCCTCTTTGAGCTTGTTTCTTTTCGTTGGTCTGGTTTTCTGTTTTGAATTTTCCACTTGAGAGCAAGCGCAAACGGCTTCTATTTACAAATTTGTCAAGTGCGCGATGTAAAAGATACCAAATAACATGAAATACGAGCTCCAAGATGAACGTTTGCCGCGATTTACGATTTGAAATACGATTTTTTGTGCCCTTGAAGGTGGGAAGTAACCTTAACAGAATCGAATGCTGCACAAAATGGGGCTAAATGAAGAGAGATTGTTGTCGTGTTATGTCCTATAGGGACTATGAGCTAATTATTATTAGAGGATAAAGTAAGTAAACAGTATTCTGCAATAAATTTCCCACTTAAAAGTTATAACGACTGGCCCATGTTGATACCAGAAATAAAAAAAATATATATGTTACATAATTCTCCTATTTCTACACCTTTATCTTTCCAGTGATTGCCTTCTCACTTGTGGCAAATCAACTCCCAGAAACTTACATTTAAAAACAATCTCGAACCGAATGGAAAAAAAAAAAAAAACTAAGCATAAGCCCACAAGTATGCCTTGTGGACCTATTTTTGGGTATTTTAACGGGATAGAGGTCTTCAAAAGTGGTTGTTCACCTTTATCTTAACTGTTATGGAAAGAAAACGAAAAATTAAACATGTGAAAGGGTCTATCCAATGAACTGCGAAGCTGTGGATTTTAGTCAACTTAATTAGATTAGCAGCTAGCCATTTACTTTTTACCTGTAACTGGGAACAAGTTTCCGTGCTTTGCAAAGTATTTTGCCTCAAGATGTTGAAAAAGCATCTTCGACTATTAAAAAAATTAACAAAGCAAATTTAGACTTGCAGCGAACTATAAGAATAAGCCATAACATGATTAATTAAGTCTAACTAACTGTGTGTGAGTGAGTAAATAAAAAGTGGTAGATAAACAAATTGATCCAGATGTTTGTTTATCGGTCTTCCTTTGACCAATCGATCGAGCAGTCAAAGCATTGCTAAGCTAAGGCTCTAAATCTTAAATCTCAATAGCGTCATTTAACAGTTCTAGAGGCCATCCCAGGACAACGCCTCTATAATAGTCCGGGTTAGTACGAGTCTGCATCTAAAAATGTGGACACAAGATTTTGCAAGCTAAAATAACCACTGCTACTGGCTTTACCTTCTGATCATGGCGTCGACGGATGTTTTTTTTATCTCTTCTTTCCTTTTTTTTATCCCACCAATGCAACAAGAAAAGCTCTGATATTATGTTAAGAGGTGCATGGATTGGATTGTAGGATTCATAAGTCTGAATAGTAACGGCTTTCTTGTATGACCACTCCTTCAACGCGTTGTCCTTAAAGAGAACAAATATATAAACCAACGAAATAGTGTAAAGATGACAGTTTTACAAATCGCTCGAAAATAAGTTCCTTGAACTTTCGAGATTGGGTTAATTATGCCCAAATGACACTTCTTCCTCTTCCTGGGAAAGAGGGGGGAGTGTCAGAGGAGTTGTTTTGGGAAGACATTTTGTACCCATAAAATGACTGGGCTTAATATAACTTTAAAGACAAATAGCGCAAAAGAGCATGCATTCAATGGAAACTTAATCGAACCTGAACTTTGATTAGTACTTACTCTTACTCGCTGATAAGTGTGGGATAGCAAGGCTATCAACATGTTTACAAGAAGAATGACTGCAATGAAGAGAAAGACAGCGTAGAGCAGCTTAGCAAGAGCTACTGAGGGAGTATCAACAGAGTTTAAAGGATTGGAATCTTGTTCTATCTCCAGAAGAGACCAGCTGAGATGAGTAAGAATCTCCCAAAAACTGAAACAAACATCAAGAATAAATGATATCATCAATAGTGACTCCAAGGAATCAATTCAGACCATAGTTAATAGAGGGGAATAGTTATGACACCAGGCAAACATCAAATGAGTAAACAAAGATATGCCAAGATTTATGTTGGGAGGTCCACGACCGTGCACAATCTTTCGTTTTGCACTATTTCACTATGCATGAATTACGTAACCAAGACTTTTCTATTGGTTAGTTCCTCAGTTAGAAGTAAACAACTATTGTGTTCTGTGCACGGTCAAGGCCAAAAAAATCCGAACAAAAACATACAACAAAGAACTTTGTCGGATTTCACAACCATTCCCCTCTATTAACTTTTTTCAGGCTGCATGGTTGTTCTCTTGTTATTTTTGCTTTCCCGATTAAATGATTTTATCTCAACTAGTAAGGAAACTGAATAAGAATCAAGTAACTGTAATGCGTCAGAGTCAGGAAGCAAAGATTGTCGTTCACTTACCATGACACCCCAGCTGTCTTACAGACCCTGAAAACAAAATTTAAAAAAAAACGTAAATGTTGATAAGTACCAGAGATGAAGATGCTGCTGTGAAGGGTCCCAACATATTGCAAACCTGCCCTAAAAAATGTAATGCCATTCCAATTTTATCTGAGGCTAGTTGTAAACTTGTTAAACCATGAAGTCTTTGTAAAAAAAACCAACAAAGTTGCTCATGAGGAATTTAATGGCAAATATGTTCCACATTAGAGAAATTTCTATGCGTTCACCATGCCAGTGTGCAGTTTGAAAAGGAAAGCGTTTTGGGAAATTTGAATTTCTGCATAAGCCATTTTCTTTTTATGCGAAAAGAATGCTTTATAATACTAGTGATCCCGCCAAACTTCTGTTGAAATGGCTTTTTTCCAGGCCGCTGCACGCACCGTTGGTTTGTTTCAGGGATTCAAAAAAAAAAAAAGTGATCACGTGACGACGAACTTCATGATCGTGTGATGAGTGAATGCTTCCTCGGAAAGGGAGCTTCACAGTTTTTTTTTTCAAGTTTGTCGCAGAGTTTCGCATTTTCTAAGAAGATACAATACAAGACATGTTACATAGAAGAGTGCGACAGGCGTAGAACCCATCCTATTGATAAGATTTGCGTCGAAAATGCACTTTTGAGTTTTAAACAATATGTGACAGCTGTGCTGCATATGCAAACTGTAGCCATCCATGTCATCACGTAATCACTTTTTTTTTAATTAACGGAGCGTGCAACGGCCTGAAGAAAAAGCCTTTCAACAGATGTCTAGGATCAATAGTAGTAAGCGGTTAAAAAGCTGATTTGGCCATTTTGAGGACATACGATGAAGCCAAAAGCTAGTAGTATATAAGAGAGAAGTGTATACAAGAATTATTAAAGGATAACATTTAGCGAGGCAAGAGTAACAAAAACAAATTTTGCACACTTACAAATTTTGTTGATTACTTGCACTTGCATGGAAGGATTTTTCTGCCATGTATATTTTAGTTATAGCAACGGAAAATGCAAACACAGATGCTATAAACTGCCAAACTATCGTAAAAACATCCTGAAAAACGTTACAAAGAGCAATCTGGATTGTTCCCAGGCCCTTGAACGTTTCTACAAAGTGACCAATTCTGAGAGCAATGCATAAGGTGTTGAAACTATACAAGTAGCTCGCCACAAGCACAGCTCGGTTGTTTGTCACAGATTCAGATGTGATCCACGTCGTAAGTCTCAGCACGAATATTACCAAGTAGGTTACAACACTGACTACGTCTATCTTGTTCCAACGATCACTAGAGTGAAAAAAAATATCAATTAATGAAACATGAAATGGAATAGCTGCAATGGTGACAAACAACTGATTATGTAGGCAAAAAAAAATTAAGAATATAGAAAAACAAATTAAAAAGGTGAAAAGTAAATAAAAGTTAAAAAAGAGAGTCGTGTAAGGATCGGGATCATCCGAATTATAAATAGCACGCAGTCTAATCACACATGTGAATACGCGAACGGGTCCATGCCATTGTCGCAAAAACCTTGATTCCTTACTTTTTATATTGACGAATATCATAACTGGAGGAGAGTTTACAAGTCTAAAGGGTATGTACAGGCGCTCTTATAATGGACACAAACGTTTTCCCAGAGTGGCGTCTTCTTTAGGATCCCTGAAACATGGTGTCTTTTTGCTGTCTAAAAGCTTCTAAAGATAGAGATGAACCACGAAAAAGTGCTTAATCGTGCGCTCCACTCATTAGAAATCTTTTACATGCAGTCCTTAAAGATATAATTTATACCTGATGTAGATGCTGAGTGCTTTCTCCAGAACATTTGAATTAGTTTCGTCCTTTTCTCTCTCTCTTCTTCCTTTAATGCGTTTAATTATAAGCCGTATCTGCTCAAACTCCACTAGAGAGCGACCTATGAAGAATATAAGTATGCTCCACTCTAATCCACTGAACGCTAGGCTTGAGGGCGACAGGCAGAAAGCGTAGTGAAGACCAAGAAGAGCCACGTAGCTTAATGTGTCCCGTACAAAGATGAAGTAAGGCGTTTTCAAGTATTCCAGGTAAAGTTTAACTGCCAGAAATATAAAAAAAATTATGTTAATAACCCCTGGACACTAATTGATCGAGCCGGGGCATTCATAGTTGACAGCCAATATGCAAATAACAAAAGGTGGCTGGCAATGTTTCCTACTTTTTTTGGAAGAGCACTTTCTGCATTGGCCTCCATATCGTAAATTGATTTCAAGTATTGTAGAAACCTTCTATCTACCTTGAGTGCGTTTTCTTTTCTTTTGCTGACCAGATATAATTTAATTTCTAGCCAGAAGACAGCAAAATTAAGTTTATTTGCTGGTGAGTCTTGGAGGAATCTGACCCTAAAGGGAACGACAAGTAGATCTATTGCGTAATGTTCGGGAGCAATGTGGAGCAAAGTCAGCCTGATAGTTAAACCATGCCAGAAAGAGACCGCTTTAGGACAAGACCATGTTCTTCGTTACAAAAGGAGCAGTATGAGTTGTCTTTAACCCCAATGTTGTTGGAAGCCGTTAGCTCCTATTTGACTATGGAAGAATTTGTACTGAAATTGAAGAATTCTCGAACTGTTAGTATATTCGAGAATAACTGGGAGGCATTACGCAGGCTAACTGAATCAGCATCATTAACCATTTCTGTTGATTATGGGTTGGATGCTTGTATGCAGTATAGTCTGAACATGTTTGCTCGCACTATTGCGTTTCGTTAATCTTACCAGAAAGCTTTCATAATTACAAATGTTACTGCAGTTGTTTTTTACATGTATACTACTCCAAAGAGATTTTAGAGCAGACAGAAGACCATAATACTTTAAAGGACGAAAGTTAAGGTTGACGCCTCAATCAAACCATTCTTTTTGGAAGTTAGGGCAGTTATCAATTATTACGAGTGAGCTGTGCCATAACAATTCTTCAAGAAATTCATTCTCGAACATTATGTGTTCATCAAAATCAACTTTTGCCCGGAATAAGACAGAGTCTCATGTACAAAGCAGTTCTTAATCTTGAGATTCTCTATGGTTTCTTTCTTGTTTAGGCTGCTAGTGAGCACTATTGAGCCTCCATCTGATATCTCTCTAACTCAAGCTGAAAAAATATCCCATTTTCCTGATTTTCGTCATCTAAGAATCTTTTTTAATCCATGTGGCTTTTAGGGACTTGCAAAAAAACGTTGTATCTATAACTTGAGGCCCCCATTTGAGCAGTCATTAATAATACGTCTCGTTTGATTTTATCTCCTTTTCGAAAATTACAGAGGAATGAATAGAATAGCCTATTTACCTTTTGGATACCTTTCATCTCTGGATGTAAGTCTCTTGATGCACTGTAAATTCCGTCCATTTTCGATTCTGGGTTCACCCGTTCCGCGATCACTGCCTTTTAAAAAAAATTAACGACATAAAAAGTAAAAGAAAAAAAATGTGAATAAAAAAGCACCCGTCATAAAAAGTGCGTCAACCGTTTCTTTAAGCAACGTATTGTAATAAATATTGCAGTGCTGTTGCTTTTTTGTGAGTAGCGTTTTTAATTGTAATTGTAGTGATAGCATTTTGCTTTATCTATTAATGATTAATCAAAGTGAGGTATTGTAATTGCAAAACAATGTAACTAGTTACGTGTAAAAGAGTAATGTGTAATTGTAGGTTACTGTAATGGCTAGATTAATTGTGACGCAATTATAAATAATGGGAGTATTCGTGTTGTAAGCATATAAGGTTTTGTAAGAAGCTTTTTTCTTTTTGTGTTTCGCAATAAAAATAAAACGTTTCCCAGAACTTTCTAACCCTTACACTTTGACTACCAATCAGATAATGCCATAAAATTGACATAAATTAAATACACATTCAATAGCGAACAGGTATGGGTCATCTCCATGACATAACAAAACCTGTTAATAACACATTTAATTTCAATATTTTAATATTGAAATTAAAAGTACCTATAGCTCAGAAACGAGCACCGTGACTCCCATTCTTTATCATTGTATCTTCATTAACATAACTTTTTTCAAAGCCAAAAGTGAAAATACAAGAAGATTATAAGAAGGGAATTTAGAGCCACCTAAATATTTTCCTAAATAGGAGTACACATATAGATATAATGTAAAAGTAAGCTTGATATCTGTACGTAGATTATTTACCTCCAATACCAGAAGTGTCCGTTAAATATGAGACACAGTAAAATGTAATTGGTGCGAGAACCATTTCAAAAAGACACCAAATGTGTAGAAAGAACCATGTCCACTTTCCTATGTTTATGGTCATTAAAACACGTCCACGCCATTTACGAGTCATCTCGGAATGAACAACTGGATGAGTGAAAAACTGAAAGAAGAAAGTGTCAAAAATAGTAAGCAAAATAACATAAAGTGTAGTTTATAAAAACGTTCAGTTGTAAAATGTCTGTTTTCACAAACATTCGTTTTCTCTCTAAGCTTTGCTATCTACGTTTTTCTCTTAAATCGGTAATAACCTTGTGCAACATGTTAAAATTTGCTATTCACCTTTTTCATTGGTGTTATAATTCACGACAACTTTTATTACAGTTTACGAGAGGTATCACGATCCACGAAGTCGTCGCCGTTCATGTGATTATCTGGTATAATCGGTGTATTTTACTTTCTACATTACCTTTTTCTGTTCCAAGTCAATGGCGTCGTCCAAAATATCATCTAGGATAAAATGACCGAAGCCGTATCGCTGACTTTGATCAGATTGCATTGGATCGAGCAGACGAGTAGTAAAGTCCTCCACGGAGTCAGCAAGCTTATTGAACATCTCTCCCTCGGATCCTTTACTTTTTGCCAGGCTGCGAAGGCGATAGTTTACCTAAATGTCATTGAACAGAAAACTCCAATCAAACTTTCAAGACGGCAAGATAAAAAATGAACAATTGTTTAACTTTCCCTGGTTAGGTTTTGTTATTCACAAAAACACAAGAATACATGCATAATCTCTCTTTTAGCCTTTAATTGATCGATTTATGCAAAGGATTGTACATTGTTAAAAGTATCGAGAAAACAGTTTGATGCGTTTTTAAGAATTTCATTATTATAATGTTGTGACGCTAACGCCAGCTTACTTACAAAAAACAAACGTAAAAAATTACACCCGAGTTATTATAATGACCATCATTTCAAAGGAAATACCGTCCTCGTGTCTGATCTGTTACTTACCTTCATCGCCATCAACAGGGAATTTGACACACAATTTGTAAGAGCCTTTGGAGTGATTTTCTTTTTAATTGCGTCAAAAGAGTTCTTCTCGGATAGTAACTTCATCAATAATTTTTCATTCCTTGCCCTATCTAAATGAAAATAATTTATTTCCATGATTAGACGATATATAGAGAGCGCTTTCACTCACCTGGCCAGCAGTCATGTAAATTTATTGGAACAAAAGAAAGTATTCACAGAGGAAAAGAGGTCAACTCCCAAAGTATTGCTTTGGGAAACCACCATGGCCGCCGTTTTATTGTTTTGGAACACCAAATGGCTGTCATGGGGTCATGTGAAAACAATCTATATTAGTTAGGTAACGCTACGCTGTGGAATCTACACCATGGAATATTCCACGGGTCACTTAATTGTATTTTCTCGCTTTTGAGATATTCCATGGTATGTCACGAGAAAGTGTTGCATAACTGTTTAACACCATGCCATAGAACATGATGCAGTAGTTAAAGCCTGCAAACATAAACGGGTTTTCAGCTTTTGCTTCACACCACTGAAAAAATGTGAAAGAAAAGCCGGAAATCCGTCTTTGTTTGCGGGCTAACGATCAACAATGGAGCCCATAATGCGAAGATTGGGTGTAATACCGTCGAGCATACAACGGCTTCCCTGTATTCTGATTGGCTGTATTTTCTATGGCATGGTATATCACTGATTATCATACAGCTTGTTCCGGGTTTAAGTGTTTCTGACTGTTGCTGCCATTATAACTCAGGGGTTATTCGCAATCTGGTTGGAAACATGGGCGTTGGCTATCGATCGATAGACATTAGGAAGTGTAAGCGCGATGCTCTAAGCATCTTTACCAAAAAGTATCCAAGAAATGCAACGTCAAATCTCGAACTATTTGTTAACCTAAATACCAATTGTAATTAATTTATGGCAAACTACAGGCAAGAGATCTCCAGAAGAAAAGTGGCAGACCATGAAAACTGCAATCTTTTTACTTACCGTTATCATTAAGCTCAAAACCTTTTTTTCCTATGGCGCACCTATAAGTCGTTTGAGAGATAAAACAAATAAGCACGTTTCTATTGATACGATGGGAAAATATAGTTACCAGTCAGACACAGTAGTTCCATTTGTTCCACAGGATACTGTCCCATTCTTACGTGTCAATACGTTCCCTTGATTCCTCTTCCTTTCTGTCAGAAGATCCTATTGAATGGTCGAGTGAAATATCACAGTCAGGTCCTTATTTGTAATTAAAATATAGTCAGCTAATAGAGGCAAGTGAAAATGCTTTTCACCTTGGAGGGATTGCAACTACCAACATGACCAAGACAAGAAGAATTCTTATTTGTCTCGTTCTTGTGTCAATTTATCACTATTTATCTTTCAGATCATCATTCTTGTCTAGATCAGTCTTACATCATTACCGACATACCTTCGTCCTCGCCGCCAAAGCCTTCATTATCTTTAGCAAATCTGAAAAAAATAAAAACAAATACTGCAATAAACACGATGTGCTAAAAACCATACAAATCTTATACTTGATTCGCCCTCCGGTGCGCGAATCCCATATGGGGACAGTGCAAGAATATTACGCTTAACAGGGTACACTCTTTGCATCCCTGACGCTGGAACAGGGAATAAAAAGCTCCCTTTCTTTTCACTGTGTTTTGGTTATGGAACAGGGCCAATGATCCACTGCTCTAGTATCCACTGTTACAACACAAAGCTGCAGATCCCTTTCGTCTACCACTATGTATAACAAACATCCGGCAATTTTCCGTTTTCTAGCAAGGTCCACAGTTTTTCAATTCTCCTACTTCTGAGGTTATTTACTCTTCATCTGTTGCATCCTCCATGAAAAAACCCAAAAAATTTGTTATCGAGGATTACTGATTCTATGAATAACACAAATTGCAAATGTTCTTCTCAATGTTCTTCGGCTAAGTATTCTGTCTTGTTAGCGAGGGAACCTAATCTTACAGCCCCCCTTGATGTTAGGATCCCTAGCCATTTGTTTATTTCGTTTTCTTCTTTTTTTTCTTGATGTGGTTAAATTCTTAATTAAGTTATGTATATGTTACATGGCACTCAATGCACGGTCAAGTAGCCGAGAAATTATGATTCCCACCTGGTGTTGTTATAGTCTCTATCAGGGTACCTATTTTTGCACTTTTGGTCTGTAACATGATCGCACTGAGATTTATCTCTGTCTCAGGGAACATTTCCAGGCCTGGCTAAGTTGCTCTAAGATTTAAACTTTAATTTTTGTCTAAATTGTTTAAAATAATCAGGCTATTTTTTTAATGCTCACCCCTGATTATCTCTTGCGTCTGGCTCGTCCCCAGAAGTCACTAATGTAAAAAAAAAAAAAAAAAAAAAAAAAAAAAAAA